ATTCCGGTGCTATTTTCTAATGAATAGAGTCGGCATGTTTTGGCAGCTAAGAAGAAAAATTAGACAAAATAATTATTTCATGATTACGGAATACATTCTTTGTAGGGATTTGTTGCTGATGACTCTGATATTGAATCACCAAGAGACATAAATGGTCCAAGATGTAATTCAAACATACGAACAGATCATCTTATGAGAAATCCTTTTGTCAATTCCACGGATCAACAAGCTGGAGAGCAGATAGGCGATGATCCAACAAAATACGGAGAAAACTCGTGTCTCGCACATGTTAGCGAGTCTTATCAATCATCAGGGACGGTTCTAAATGTATCCACTCATGGGAATACTTTGGCTGCTCCTGGTCTTGAATCACCAAGCGCGAAATCTGTGAATAAGGGCACACCCTCCTCTGTTCATGCAAAGCGCGCAACATTCTGGGGTCGAGGCAGTGTATGTGTTTTCTTATCTTGATCAAATAGTTTTGATTCTGTACACGCGGCAGATTTGGCCCATTATTTCATATATAATTGGATGCATGATACTAAATCCTTTTTCTCCAATTTGATATAAGTGTCACACCTTAGCTGAATCATATGAAGATAATGAACCAACGGAATAATATCAATAATATTTTCTTCTCTTTGTTTGTCTCAGGCCAGAAAGATATCCACAGATGGGTCGTTTGATTCTTCAGGAGAAGACGAGTAAGGCTTTAACTCTTGGGTGTATTCTCCATCTCCATATATATATATATTCTTCTAGCTAGTGTATTCATACGCCACTTCTTGATTTTCTTAGCAAAACTATCATTAACTGTGAGTATCTATCCATAAGTTTTCAAGTTTAAATGTTTTCTTTCCTTGAAATACTTGCAAGATTCATTTTGACGCTGTACTTTATCTGAGAATCCTTTTACTTTATCGGACATGGCTAATACTCTGCAACTTACTGAAGACTACATTGTTTGAATGAAGTAGGATATATAAGAGATTATCCACCTATCCAAAAATCTACATATACATGTATATATGTTCTTTCTACATTGTTGATCTATGCATTGTTGACTACTACTTCATCTCTTAGGTATATGCTTGAATTGAAGATTTCGCTAGCTTGGTGTTTTTGTACTGCTAATTGGTTCATTAATTGTTTGTAGGCTTGCTATACAGAGGCTCGAGACCACAAAAAATGAACTGCGACAACGAATTGCAAAGGAGGTAATCATCTACCTCTGAAATATTATTCTTTGCCTTCATAAAGTCATTAACACTGCTCACCGTTATTGTTATAGGCCAGAGGTAATGCAATATTACAGGCTAGCTTGGAGAGAAGGAAGCAAGCACTGCATGAACGTCGTTTGTCGCTTGAACAAGATGTAAAAAATTTCTCTTTAAAACTATCAGTGTTTATAAATCTCGTCTCTCCACTATTAATCCTAATGTCAAAGGAATCTTCTTCTGGTTTGATGGGAAATACTTATTTAGGTGTCAAGGTTACAAGAGCAGCTACAAGCTGAAAGAGATCTCCGAGCAGCACTGGAGGTTGGTTTGAGCATGTCCTCTGGACAATTCAGTTCACATGGTGTGGATTCAAAAGTAAGTATAAATTTTAGGGAAATGGTACCTTTCTTTATAACATTTAGTTCCTGTGAAATACTTACTATCCAAGTATATTTGAAGACGAGGGCGGAGCTTGAGGAAATTGCTCTAGCTGAGGCTGATGTGGCCAGGCTGAAGCAGAAAGTTGCAGAACTTCACCATCAGCTTAACCAGCAACGTCAGACTCACTTTGGTTCCTTCTCAGATGCACGTGATACTCATCAGTATCTCCAGAGTCACAATCCTCAAAAGTGAGTTGTGTCACTATCCCTGTACTTTCCTCACACAGAGGAGCTCGTAGTCCAAGTTACCTTTCGAGATAACTTCCCCTTTTTTCTGTAAAGCTTTTATACTTGAATTGCTTGCTTGTTTCTTTAGCTTAGTGAAGATGTTTAACAAATATCTCGGATAACGTATCCAGCATTCATCTTTAACTCAGTACAGCTGTGAGAATTATGTTTGAAGTAACTTTTGCACAACATATCTTGTAATATGATTGGTTCACATCTGTGTTTCTTGTCTGATACCATGTTATGTATTTCTACAGAAGGTTTCTTCAGCAAGATTTTGATTCCACTCTTGCCTATGTAAATCATGAAAGGAAACAAAGACACGAGGTACTTCCTACTGATGTTTCTGTCATCACTCATCATCTTTCATAGTTTAGATCATACCTATAGAATTTACTGTTTGGCCTACAGGAGAATTTACTGGGAGTGGAGTGGAGAAATAGTAAAGGGGCAGGATCTTTTGGTGTTGGCAATAGCAGGCAACCATCTCGTAAGCAAATACCAGAATCAACGAACATAACTGACTCTAAAATCAGTGAAGAGTCTGGAAAGGTGTCTGTGGACAAGTTCTCAGCCATAGATTCTCCATCTGTTCCGTCGACTTCAAGAGCATTAGATGTAAGACCTTTTGCTCCTTGTTATTATCATTCCCTTCACGAAGGATATACACTTCAAAACGAAGGTGGTTGGTAGGATTGAAATGCAGGAAGATAGTTTTTCTTTTGGGTTACGTAGTATTGTGTGAAATTCTGCGATTGGCCTTATCTGGTTTGTTAATTAGTTCCACAGAATAGTTAGTTGCAAACAATAGTTACTACAGAGACATGCATGATCGCTTTCTGCCTAGCAAATCAAAGCTGGCTGCTCTTAAATTTTTTAAGGAAACATCTTAAGCAATGACAGCGCACACTAACAAGCTTGAAATGACGGTTTTACAGATAACAGAGTACCCAAGGCTTAATCATCCGTCAGCTGCTGCATCAGCAGCTCTGGTAGAGTTAACAACACGTCTTGATTTCTTTAAGGAAAGACGTTCGCAGCTCATGGAGCAGCTCCAGAACCTCGACCTTAACTACGGCGGCTCGTCCTCCCAAGATTTCATACACCGGCCATCTTCTCCACCTTGGAACTAACAACATGAGAAAAATTGAAGAAAAGGCTATGTTTGTTCTGTATATCCATCCTTTTGGTGATTGATTAATGATGTTAGCATTTGCTCTACTCATTTTCTCCCCCAGAAGACAATAATGACCTTATTCTTTTGGGCAACAGTCTTGTGTGTATATAAAGAGGTATTTTGTAATGCAATTTTTTTTTTTTATGCCAGGTTTGTTCATATGTATTAACTCTAAAGCTGTCTTGATATGTTAGTTTTTTTATGCTCTTGAGTTTCTGACCAAACCAATTACAACTGAAAGTCTCTTAATTTTCATTTGTAGAGAATAATGTATTGACATGATTCCTTCACATTAAACCTGGATAGACAACAATATCTAAATAAAAGAGTAACATAGTATATTTCAATCCAGATAGACAACAATATATTCTATGAAAGTTGAATAACCTTTGTTTGAGAGCTCCTAGAGAATGAGAAGTTGACATATGTCCAATTATTAAGTGTAATCATTAATAAAATCTCATTGATCATTGATTTATATCAATTCAAATAAAATGAAATCACCTAAACATAAAAATCCTAAAACAAGATGTTTTAAAAAGGAATAAAACCTTTGTCTAAAAAAAGAATAAAATCTTATAATAAATATATTAAAAAGATCATAAAAGCATAAACATTAATGTGGAATTTTAACTTATTTTACATTTTCATCTTCCTCTTTTGTGGGAGGGCTTAATTTTTAAATCGCCATCTCCACCATCACATTTGACATGTATAGAGAGCTACAATGCAAATTGGTTTCTAAGGTCTATAAATCTATGGCTCACTTTATAGTATATATAGAAATTGCCAGATTAAAATGGTTGTCTTGATCTATTTAAAAATAAAAATGATAAAAAGATTTTTTTCCCAGTAATTCCTTTATTGTTAATTACATCATTTAAAATGTCAATTTACGATTTTACCAAAAAAATATCTATTTACGATTAAAATAAACAAACAATCTAGTATTTTAAAAATATAATATGAAAAAGTATGAAATAGCGTTTTTAGTTAAACACAGTGTTCTAAAAAGCGGTCTAGGCGGTCGCCTAGGCCCCGACTAGGCGCTAGGCTCTCATGCGACGCCTAGATAACCGTCTTGACCGCCTAAAGTTACATAGATCTTGTTTAATGTATTTTTTTCAATTTTAATTAGAGTTTTATTTATATATATAGTTATACATATTTATATATTGTTTAATATAAATATAAATAAATGTTTTATCTAGTTTTGTTTATAATTTCATAATTTTTAGTTTTATATAGACATTTTATATAACTTTTATATATAATATCATATTTATAATATTTTATGTTATAAACGTCTAAACCGCCTAAAAAATTGCCTAGGCCCCGATTAGACGTTCTAGGCGCTAGGCACTGGGTCACCGCCCGCTTAGCGCCTAGCGCTTTCTTGAACATTGGTTAAACATCACAATTTGAATTTAAAAAAAAAAACCCGCGAAATTCAAATAACACATCACTCATATATCTTAACTTACTATAAATGATAATTTTATCATTCACGAGAAGAAACAAATATCTTCTAACAAATTGTAAAAACACTAAACAACTGACAATTACTGTATACCATTCTTCAACTAATTCTACCCGCGTTTTTATGTTTGTTGAACAGATTGTCTTGATTGGTAAACCTTTTTACATAATCGTATTAAAAACCATCATTCCAATATATGCGTACAACAAGTCCAAAATATTTGATGCCAAAAAGTATTCTTCATCTTTGAAAAGAAAAGACTAAGAAACGACGACGTTCAAAGCCCGTAAGGCAAACCGTTTGACAAAAAAAACCAAAAGCGAGAACGCCGAGAAAGAAAGAAAATACTTGGACAATCCCTTTTTTCCCTTTTTTTTTTTTCTTTACATTAATCTTCATTGTTCTCTCTTTTTTTTTTTTTTTTTTTTTTTTATATTTAAGCAAAAGTCGACCTTATACAACCTTCACCGTCTCTATTTTTTTTTCTCTTCTCTCTTCTCTCTCTCGCGGAAAAAAAAAACCCTAGTTTCTCTCTCCTCTCACCGATTTTTCCATTCCGATGCTTGTGGTCGCATAGCCATCCCCGCAGATCTGGTAATTCCGGGTAGATTTCTTCCCTTTAATCCTAATTTCAAGAATTTGCTTTGCTTTTGGTTGTTTTCTTCTTATCGCGTCGTTTGTTTTTTTCTTAAAAATAAGTTCTTGGGAATAGGGTTTTTTTTTTTTTTTTTGCCCTTTTGAGTTTGATGCTGATTCTGCTTTGATTTCGCTTCTCGTTTTGTGGGCGAAAGGATTTATTCTGAGATGAAGACCTTAAGGGTCTTTGTGATTCTTCTTGTGTCATGTTTCGGGAGATTTTTACTCTTTTTTTGAATCGGAATTTATCTTTGTTAATATCTCCGGTTGATCGCTGGTGCAATCGTTTGATTTTATTCCAATTCAAGGTTTGACTTGAATCGGCATGTATATTTGACTTGTCTCTTTTCTTTAGTATAAAGCTCCAAACACTCTAAGAGGATTGAATTGTTTAAGCTCTTTAGTCTTGTTCGGCTTTTGTTTTTTTTAGATAAGTAGACAAGCATAGGTTTTGGCTTCTATCTTGTGCTGAGATTCTACCTTTTCTTATTGCAGGTTACATATGAAATAACCTTTGAAACATTTTGATGGATGATGACTTTGCAGATGGATAAAACTACTGCTTGCTCTCCAAGGGAGCGAGCCAAGTCCATACTTGATAAGGTTCTCTCTCTCTCTACTACACTTACATCTCTGAATTTTTGTCATCCTAGGGTTATTTGTTAGGGACACGTAATCTTAGTTTATTTGTTAGGTATATCTAAGGCCGTTTTGTCTCTTCTTCACTTGAGCCTATATCTCTGTAAGATTTGGGTCTACGTTTTATTGACAATAGATGCTTACTTTGCAGACTTTTGCGTTAGAAAACAAGCGTTGGAAGGCTGCTCAGACTCGAAATCCACCTGACTTAAATTTGTGGCAGCAAATTCGTGAGAATTATGAAGCAATAATTCTTGAAGATCATACCTTTTCTGAGCAGCACAACATTGAATTGACTCTGTGGCAGTTGCATTACAAACGGATTGAAGACTTTAGATCACACATCAATGCTAGTAAGGGTCCCTCTAAACCAGACGTAATTGCAAACCACAAGCTGCAGTTCAGAACATTCCTTTCAGAAGCAACTGGGTTTTACCATGATATGATCTTAAAAATTAGATCAAAGTATGGTCTTCCCCTGGGTTATTTTTCTGAGGATCAAGAGACTCAACATTTGGCTGATAAGGATGGAAAGAAGTTACCAGAAGTTAAATTAGCCTTGGTATCATGTTATCGTTGCTTAATATACCTTGGTGATCTGGCTCGGTATAAAGGATTGTGTGGCGAGGGGGATTCCAAGAACAGAGAGTATGCTGCTGCTTCAAGTTACTATTTGCAAGCAGCTTCTCTATTGCCAGCCTATGGAAACCCACATCATCAGGTTATTCCCTTGTTTTCCCCTTTCTCGTGTTATTTTTAGTTAGGTACAAATATCGAGTAGTTTTTTCTGATTAGATTAACCTAATGTCTCAGCTTGCTATAGTTGCTTCTTATTTGGGGGATGAGTTTACAACAACATATCGTTATTTCCGAAGTTTGGCTGTGGAGATTCCTTTCCCAACTGCCCGTGACAACTTGATTGTTGCTTTTGAAAAGGTTAACTACGAAGTTCCTGTTTCGTTATTATTTTAGTGGCTTGGCGTAAGATTGATTATTCTTCCACTTTCTTATTATCCAAATATAATATATCTTTCTCTTGTTGTATGGGTGCGCAGAATCGTCAGAGTTATGCCCAATTGTTTGTGGCTTCCAAAGACTCATCCAGGAGGCCAACTGGTAAAGGAAGAGGTAAAGGTGAAGATCCTTCATCAAAAGATGCGAACTTGATAGCTGGTCCTGTGAAGGATAAAGTAACTATTTCAAATGAGATGCTCAAAGCATTCTGCACTAGATTTCTTCGTCTCAACGGGATTCTTTTTACCCGGACAAGGTAATTTTTCTGAACTTATTTTGTTCTAGATTCTGATAGTGGCTCTCTGGTATAATACTTATCACTTGTCTTCTCAGCCTGGAGACATTCTTTGATGTTCTTGCCTCCACTAGCAGCAGTTTACGAGAGGTGATTTCTTCGGGCTCAGTTGACGAGCTGAGTTTGGGCATAGACACCAGTGACAGCGCACTTTTCATTGTTAGACTCGTGACAATTCTTATATTTAGCGTCCATAACTCAAAGAAAGAGACAGAAGGTCAGTCATATGCAGAGATTGTACAGCGTGTTGAGCCTGCCAGAAACTCCTTAACGGCTAGCTTTGAGTTACTTGGACACGTAATAGAGAAGTGTGTGCAACTGGGAGATCCTTCGTCGAGTTACTTCTTGCCCGGTGTCTTAGTTTTTGTTGAATGGTTGGCCTGTTGTCCTGATGTTGCACTGGGAAGTGATCCGGATGATAGACAGACTGCTGTAAGAAATAGCTTTTGGAACCAGTGTGTTACCTTGTTCAATCAAATCTTGTCGCTTGGACCTATGTTTATTGATGATGTCGAAGACGAGACTTGCTTCTCAAACATGAGCTTGTATGATGAAAGAGAAACTGAAAACCGACTTGCACTATGGGAGGACTATGAACTAAGAGGATTCTTGCCACTGCTTCCAGCTCAGACCATTCTCGACTTCTCAAGGAAACATTCCTTTGGAACTGAAGGTCCCAAGGAAAAGAAAGCTCGTATAAAGAGGATTTTAGCAGCAGGGAAAGCTTTGACCAGTGTGATCAAAGTTGATCAGAATCATGTATATTTTGATTCAAAGAAGAAGAAGTTTCTTGTTGGTATAAAACCGTCAGATGACTTGCTGGATTCTCATTCAAGCCCACCTAAAGCTTGTAATACTTTGCAAGATAACCAAGTAATGATGAATCATAACTCGCCAGTGATGCAGCTTGGTCAGCAGATTTATATGGGTGAGGAGGATGATGATGATGAAGTAATTGTTTTCAAGCCTCTAGTTACTGAAAAGAAGAAAGAGGCTTCTGACCAAATATATGTTCCTAGTGGAGGCTTCAGGAAACCTGATCAAGTTGCTACTATGGGGGACTTTAAAGCTTTAAGTGGTTCTGATGCAGCTTTTCATGAAAATCAACTTCTGCAAGCTAGAGGCAATGCGAGTATTCAAGTACCTGCATCTGTTGGTTCTAACCTTCTGGGACTTCTTCAGCCATCAACCCAGGCTCAAGCTATGCATATGCAACAAGTTCAGACGCAGGTTCAAGTGCCTGGATCTGTTGGTTCTAACCTTCTGGGACTTCTTCAGCCATCAACCCAGTCTAAAGCTATGCATATGCAACAAGTTCAGACGCAGGCAGTGAATCCTCAGCCAGCCCAATCACTAGCTGCTGCAAGACTTCAGCCAATGCAATCACAGGTCGCACAACTTCAACCACTGCCATCACGGGTTGTGCACTTTCAACAAACTCAGGCACAGCTTTCACATGTTTCAGCGGCCCAGACACAATCTGCTTCCTTTGTTGGTGGTAGCAAGTGGTCACCAGAGGAAGCTGCTTCTCTTGCTAGTAGCCTATCTGGTTTTGCTCAGATGGGTAATGGTCATCTAATGAGGAATGAGATGCAAGGAAATCATGGAGTTTCCTATTACCCTGCACACCCATTACCGGTCCACCAGTCTTACAATGTCAATGGTATGGGTGGTATGCCATATTCTCAGTCACGAACATCTGAAGCTGTATTGACACCCAAAATTGATACTGTTTTGTCAGCCGGAGTTGTTGCTGATGGCCTGGGCGTCCAATCTTCGTTAGCAAAGAAAAATCCAATCAGTAGAGCCATTAGGCATCTTGGCCCTCCGCCTGGGTTTAACTCTGTTCCCTCTAAGCTGCAAAAGGAGCCAGCACCTGGTTCGGATTTTTCTGGCAACAACAATCTACCAGTTGATGATTACAGCTGGTTGGATGGATACCAAGCTCAATCTTCTCGAGGCGCTGGGCCGAACAGTTCTTTGAATTATGCCGCCTCTGGGAAACCAGAACACATGGGTGGTACCAGCAATGTACTGAACGGGGTTGCCAACTTTCCGTTTCCTGGAAAACAAGTTCCAACATCACAGGTCCAAGCAGATTTTCCTTATTTCCAGAACCCTCAGAAAGATAACTTTGTGGACAAAAATCATCAGTCAGCTCAACTCCCTGAGCAATATCAAGGACATTCGACTTGGTCGAGTCGTCACTTTGTGTGAGATCAGAATGGAAGAGTAACACGGTAAGAGCAAATGTGAAGCTCCTTTGCATTGTCAAATACTTTGTAAACTCTCGCATTGTTATAGTGTTGATCTAGGTTTGGGAATGATTCAGGTGAGTGTTACGCTACGTTTATTGCTACCTAACTCCAACTGATCCTTGTTCTGCTGAAGTCTCTAGTTGGAGTCTTTGTGGCCTTGGCTTCTTGTGGGGCACTTCCTACCTGACGGGTTAGTCCTTTTTCATCATTGTCTTTAAGCTAGTCTTGCAGTTCCTTGTTTACAAATGCTTAGGCACTAATACAGATTACCAATACTTATTGATGATAGATTCAGGACACAGCTCATGTTGGTGAAAGAGATATGTGGTAACAAGAATGAATGGTTCTGGGGAATTGATAGGAGTAAAGTGCCTTTCTCGTGCTACTTGAGGTGGAGATGTTAGACCTTATGAATAAGAAAGGAAACGTACCTTGTGGCTCACTCTCGATATCTGAAGCAGTTGTTTGCTGTTTTGCCCTCTTTATCCTTTTTTCTTTTCTTTTTGCGTATAAATGTGTAGCTGTCCGTCCTCTTGCAGCTATCTTTCTCTCTTGGATTGCTTTGCTTTTTGCTTTCCTCTCCTTTATTCTATGCTCGTCTCAAACTTCTCTCTGTTTTGCTGTGTCGTTTTAAGTTGAACTATCATAGGGTGTGTGACACTTTTCAAGTGCTAATGAATAAAAAGGGACTCGTGTCATAAAACATGATTTGGTGTTGAAATGCTTCCCTCTTCTTCAGGGAAAATTTTCTTTAAAACCTAATTTGATTGAAGGTCGAAATTTTATACATAGTTCAATTCATTGGATGGTAACTTGATAGCCTTTCTCTCCTACCGCAAACCAAAGTATCTTTTTGTCGCCGGTGTTTGGTGTACCGATGACCGGTATCCAGCCAAAGTATCAGTGGTTTAATGGAGAATGAACAACAATATAAAATGTTACTCCTTAGGTTATATTGATGTATATGAACATAAGACTGAAATCTGTATCTGGTGACAACATATACAGTAAGTAAATGCATTTTGTTTCTCTCTATACAATGAAATCTTTAATGGGTTGACTTGGAAGCCTTTCTGAGTAGAATCCCCCAGCAGAGGATTCGATAGAAAACGAAGAAGGCAAGCATGATCACGACATTGATCCATCTCGTATCCTTGTCAAGCCCTCTCTCCTTCAACACATCCTCTCCGGTCATCAAGCAGCCCATGTTCCCGCTGGAGAAGCATTCCTCTCGCATGCTCCAGTACTCATTCACCACCATAGACTCCAGCGGGTAACGGTACAGCGACACGTAGTACATGAACATCCATGGTTTTGGGATCTTCTCTTTGGGGATAAAGTAGCCGGAGAAGAGGAAGAAGGCTCCAAGAACGGTGCAGATGAGGGAGTTACCGGAGATGAAGTCAGGAGAAACCGCGCTGAGGAAGAGCACTAGAGAACTGGCCATGAGAATGATGAGCCAGACGCAGAGGACAAAGAAGGAGAAGGCTTGAATCGATGGATTTAGGCCTACGATCCAGTAGACTGGGATGGAGAAGAGGAGAGATACAACGAAGAGGAACGGTACAAATGCGATGGTGTTGGCGATCATGTAGGATGAGATTCGGTAGGATCCACGAGATGATTCTTTCATCAGAACGCGACGTTCTCGGAGGTATATGGGAAGTGCTTCCACTGTGGAAGAGAGGAGGAAGCTTAAGCTGAAGGCAAAGAGCCCGAGCCGCTCTGCTACGCCTTCTTCGTCACGCTTGAGTCTTGTGTAGACGCTGCCTAGACCTAATCCGGCTACCACCGCTTGCATTGTTCGCGCCAGGAATAACTGCTTTGTTCTGTAGATGATCTTGCAGAACCTCGAACAGAGATATGAGATCTCGGTGACGTCTAGGACACGAAACTCTTCTTTCTTTGTGATAATCCCATCATTTTCGTTGTTTTCAGGCCACATCGATGATGATTCTACGACAGCTACCGAGTCTGGCTTAAAAGTTCTCAACGACTCAACTATTTCCATGGCGAATTCTATCGGATTCAGCTGTTCTGGAATCTGAAACCCTAGTTTCGCTATTGAGTCCTCGAGATGTTCAAGACTTCCCAAGTAGATAACCGATCCGCGTGAAAGAATCAGGTAATCGGAGATGTAATCGAGGATTCGATAGCTTGGTTGATGGATGGAGAAAAGGACGGTTCTCTGTTTGGATTTTGCCATAGTAGCCAAAAGCTCAACGACCTGGAGCGAGTTTCGACTATCCAAACCAGAGGTTGGTTCGTCAAGAAGCAGAATTGGTGGATCACGGATCATCTCAACAGCTATTGAAACTCTCTTCCTCTCTCCTCCCGAAACACCACGATCTTCATCGTCTCCTTCTCCAACGAAGCTGTCTTGGACTAGAACAAGACCGAGATCACTCAATAAGCTCTCCACTCTATCTTCTCTTTCCTTAGCCGTTGAATCTCTCAAACTGAATTTGGCGCTATACATTAACGTCTCTTTCACGGTAAGTAGAGGCAGTAGGTCATCGTCCTGCGGGACAAACCCGCATAGCCTGCGTAGCTGATTGTAGTCGGTAATTCTACGATTGTTTATCAAAATCCCGGAAGACGGATCCAGTGCCTTGTGGTTCACGCTTCCTGAAATGATTTTCAAAAGAGTGGATTTGCCTGTTCCGCTAGGGCCAACCACGGCTAGGATTTTAGAGGATTCAGCAGCTAATGAAACAGATTTGAGTATTGGGGTGTGATGGATGGTGTAGGAGAGGTTAGTGACGGTTAAAGAGTAGCGGTTAGGGCTTGGGAGTGGCGAAGAAGAAAATGAAGAGGAAGCAGAGGAGAAGTCATCAGGAGAGTTTGAGGATGAGAAAAGAATGATGGAGTCTTCTTCGCGGCGGCTTGTAGCCATAGCAGAAGGGTGGAAGCAGGAAGCCACGGTATGAGTATTGTTCTTCTTCATATCAAAATGTCTAACAATGCTTTTTATGTATGGTTGAAGTTTTTTTTTTTCAGAATTGGTCGACCAACAAGAGAAACAAGTGTTTAATGTGGTAGGCAGAGGTTGGTGTGACTCTTCAAAACCTGTTTATCTAATTTTATTTGGTTGGTCATTAATTTTTTTATTTTGGTGAGTTTATCGTATAAGATTAATTTTTTCTTACATATGTAAACGGTATTAGTGGTTGACCAGGAAAAAAGGGTATTGGTGCATCAAACAAAAAGGTAACGTGTTAAATTCATTTCTAAAATGTACTTTCCAATGGTATCACCATGATAAAGCAAGCTTATATATATATTTTAACTTTAAGAAATTTTTCTATAAAATGTTAAATAAATAGATTATAAATAACATATTACTAAATGACATGTCCAAAATAGTAAAAATAATGACAGTAACATGTTAACTCTATACATTAAGATGGCTAGTCGTTGATATATTATGCTAAAAGCGTAATCGCCCCGTCATGAGCAATTCTAGCGTTGATAATGGCAAAATAATGAAATCTAAAATTAGATTTTGATACAAATTTGGTTGCTTTTAAGATTACCTTCGTGAAGAAATAGGCTACTTTCTCTGATCAAACACCCTTGTTGCTTCACAAGTTTCTCCAAACAGTTAGTGCTGTTTGAATTTCCACAGCAAATAATAGCATTTATAGAGAGAAAGAAAGAAACAATGTATGCTTATAGAATTTACAAAAGAATTTACACATGAAAACTATTTTCTCGCTTGGTTAAAATCCCCAATAAACCTATGAAACCCGTGTTGACCAAAAAAAGAATAGATGAGTGGGAAACTCCGGTTTTCTGTGTTATATTGGGGTAAGCAAAGAATACTAATGACCCAAGTCTTCACTCCCTACACCCACACTGGATTTATCAACGACTATGCGTACATTGTATTGTTCGTAAACTCTTCCTCTGTTCTCTGCCCACCATTCTTCTGCTTGTTTCTCGCTAAACCGCTTCCGACTGCGATCAAAATCATCCTCCGATTATGTTCATTTCATCATTAACAAAAAAAAAAAAAAAAAAAAAAAGAGAAATAAAGAAGAACTGTAGTACCTGAAACGGACACGTTTGAGATCCCTTGCACCTCCAGCTAAGGCTGTGAGAGTGATGTACACACCAGGTTCATCTTGTTCAACCCATTCATTTTCGTTACGGGGTTCACTTTCTTTTGATCGTGTGCTGATTCTATTTATCGCATCAGCAGCATGATTAGCTTGCTGTCGGTAACTTGCACTATCGAAAACAGGTGTGCTGGTCCCGTTGGAAAACATTGGGACGGTCATTGGGCTCTCAGAATCAGTTTCTCGGCTGTTTGGACAGTTTAAGGTGTTAGAAGAAGGGGCAACGTAATCAGGACTGGAACCAAATGAATTAAGAGAAGGAGACTTGATAGTCCGAGCTGATCCAACAGGTAGTCTTTCAGCCATGTCTTTCAACTGCATGGTTTCATTGAAACAATCAGTAAGTTGCATACAGCACTTTCATTCATTTTAACAGCAGAGAAGGAAACTTTGGAATTTACTTGAGCGGTAAGTGATTTAATCACTTCTTTCGCTGCCTTGCATCTTGCTGATTCTTCGCTAGCGATTGCTAGTGCCTCCTTTAGCTGTTCGGTTGTTCTTTCCAATTCAACTTCTTGAAGCTGTGCCTTCCGTGTAAGATTTTCAACCTGTGAAATCGTTTACTAGTGAGTTAGCAAAGTAGTCAAATTGCAACGAATGAACCAGAAAGACACTTGCTTGGCTCTAGAAAAAGACCTATCCTTTAATGAGTGAAATCCAGAAAGAATTGATTATGAACACAGCTATGTTTTTTTTCTTATATTGTAACACAGGAAAGTGTGAAGAATTTCTGGAATAAGTAACAAGAATTAGAGCGTGGAAAGCAGCTTACTTGAGATCTTAGCATAACCACCTCCTGGCTTAGGTTATCATTGGTTCTCTTGGTATCATCCACGACAATTTTTTGTGTAGTTAGTCCTGAAAGAGTGGGAGTTGGCGTTGTTGAGCGAGGTGGGCTAGGACGTCTTGATATTGGTGAAGTTGCTCGAGACACAATTCGGGAACCAGGAACTGATGCTGAGAAGAACTTTTTTGATGATCCGAAGGTTGGGTTAAAAGACTTGGTTATGTTTAGTGAACCCCGGTGAGAGCCTCCACTTGGTATTGGTGAGACACGACTACTATTGAATTCATATTTCTTATTTTTCTTGGATCGACTGTCCACTTGCCTCATGGGCTCCAACAATGAGAATCTAGCTAGCTGTCCGTCAGATCTAGTATCCAACTTCTCATCTCTGTCAATTGCATCTGATCCCTGGTTGACACTTTCTCTTCGACTCAAAGAAGAATGAGATGATGGATCCGTTTCCATGGCCTTTTTCAATTTATTGAAACACCTATCACACACTCTATATGGTTTGTTCGGGTTCGGTGCCATACAAGCCTTCAGGGACTTTTTATTAGTGCAAGAATGGCAAAACACAAGTCCACAGTTATAACAATTGTGCCGCTTTCTCTTGAAATTGAAAGGCTGACGGCAACCTGAACACATGGACTGGTCCATCCCTGATGCCCACTTGTGAAGGCAAACAGCTGCGGTGAAGTTAGAACCACAGGCAATACTTTTGACCTGTTTATCCTTCAGCGACTCAACCAATGTCGGGGAATTTCGATCATCTGCATCCCCATGGCCTAGTCTACCATTTGATCCTTTTCCCCAAGTGTAAACCTCAGTCCTTGAAGTTAAAACTGCAACATGATAAGCACCGCAAGCAATCTCTTCGACAAAACTCTTGTGAAGTTTACCTTCAACACGGGTTGGAACCTTTCCATCTGCATGTGGGTTTCCAAGCTGACCATAAACAGGACTACCCATAGTATAGACATGGCCCGATGTTGTCAGTGCAACTGTTAGGCTATGTCCGCACGCAACTTGACAAAAATTGGGTTCTACAAGAGCTGCAACACAGGTAGGCACAAGTTTTGGTTCTTTGTCACCGTGACCAAGACGACTCTTGTCACCATCACCCCATGTAAAGAGCTTTCCTGAAGAGCAGTTACTAGAGCTCGAGCTCCCAACCATGACTTCTACAACTGCGGCTGTGTGCCATACACCACAGGCTGCCCGAACAGTGCGAAGACCTTTCAAGGAGTCTACCTCTCTAGGTATGAAAACACTTTTCCTGTCTCCATGGCCCAAAACACCAAAGGTCCCATCACCAAAAGTAAACAACTGCCCAGCAGAAGTCACAACAGCTGTGTGGTAAGGTCCACAAGCGATGGATGATACATGTATCCCTTCCATCAGAAAATTTACTCTTTTGGGGACCCAGTGACTGACTTCATTTCCATGTCCCAGAATACCAAAATCTCCTTTACCCCAGGTATACAAATCCCCCGATAGAGTAACTGCACAACTATGGTATTCACCACATGCTACAAGCTCAATATTTGTGGTACTGAGGGCATCAATGAGCTTTGGATGTTGAACATTGGAATCTACACCATGGCCAAGCCTACCTTCAGATTCCTCTCCCCAAGAAAAACTTTCTCCTTGTTTTGTCACAAGGACAGCATGTTGTCCACCACAAGCAATATACTGTACATCAAGTACTATAGTAGACTCTAAAGCTTTTGGCAGTAAGGAATCCATTTTGATCTCCAACGAACTTCCAACTCTATAATTTCCACCACCCAAAACACCTTCGCCTATTCCTTCTCCCCACATGAAAACGTCTCCCAATGTGTCTCCATCATCATGACCAGAACCATGGCTCGACGAACTAATCGCACTTGACAGACTAACTCTAAAAGCATCCATACCCATTCCTTTCATGTGACCATGTAGTGTATCTAAGCCTCCAGATGATAAAGAGTGAACAGACATGGTTGCCGAATCTGGGGGAAAAAAACCTTTTGGAGGAACTGCATACAACGACATGTCTGAAAATGCCTTGTCAATGCCATTCTTAGGCGGGCTCTCATATGGACTGTGAAGACGAAGGTGATTTGAGCCCTCCTGAAAGGTAAGAGAATATTACCTTAGTTAAGAAATGCACAAAATGAATTGGAATATTTCATTCTAGTACCTTCTGGAAACTTTCATTGCTACTAAATGGAGAATGTAAAGGGGAGCTTCTCCGGGTATATGTTCTCGGACTATTAGCTTCGGATGGCGTTCCATCACTTCTCGATTCGGTCCTCCATTTACGTTGATGACAACGAGATATCAAGGCTTTTAAACCGCTAAACCACACTTCAGCCTCATCTTTATCTTTGCATATCTATGAAATGAAATTCTGACACCTAATTAATGATCTTTCAATAATAACAGACATTTAAATGATGGAATAATGATTCACAGAGGAAATAGGAAAAGAATATACTATAAGAAAAAACTCACCACATCCAGTGACCTCTCGTCATATATTAGTGAGAACGATTGATATTCCTTCTCGGGACGTGGATATCTTTGAAAAATAGGCTGCAAGAGAAACACCATTGCAAGACTTATCAGAATATCACACTAGATATGCAAGGTCCAAATATGCAACCTACGACTACAGAAATTGGCTCATGCAAATGATGCATAAAACATGCAAAGTCAAATCAAGATCGACCTGCCTCCCTGAATTGAAATGAAAAAAATAATGATGAATCCAATCAAACATAGGACAAGCACGTAATCTTCATTTGAGTTTATGTTGATAAAACGACTCTAAGAAAAGAGCCTTGTGCATAACATACACCAGTTGGAAAATCATAAACAACAATTCAGATCACATTAGGAGGACAATCCCACTCACAATCATGACAGACAGTGGAGCTCAGAAACAACCAGAAGAAGATACTCCTACTAGGCAGAAATAGAGATCCAACCATATAAACGAATTGAAAAATGGATAATACCAGTCCAACGAACTTATTCTGAAAATTTAATAGCCAGCTTAAGGGAGGATTAAATGACATGTCCACGGATGTCAAAACTTACAGTGCGCTGCCCAGATATGATCCTGGAAACATGACTTAGCTTCAAATGTTTCTCCTCCTTCCCGGAAAACCATATCAAAACAGATTCATCCTGAAAGGTACACGACAGACTATTTACTTAGACACAGAACAACGAGAAGCTGCACACATCAAAAAGCAGAGAGAAAATATAATGAAACAAAAGGACTCTAGAGGCTCTTACATAATCAAAAGATGAAAGCAACACAACTTACATTTGAAAGGCGAAATGGACAGAACTTAGGCTTTCCCCTTCTGCCATACTTAAGCAAATAAGCTCCTTTCTTAAGGGCAGTGATAGCCTGAGCCAATAGATGAAAAAAAGTTGCGTAAATAAAGTAGGTGAAGTATACTGGCAAGGGGTGATTTCAGCTGTAGATACAGTTATATGATAAAACATTGTGAATAACAAAGAGAAGCAGCAGTGGGACACACGAAAATATTAATCCTACAACCAATAATACTATATCCTGAGAAATTGCACAAAACAGAAGTCTCAGTAGACTGGTAAAAAAAACATGCAATAAACAACATCAGGAATTGCAAATTTTGTTCTCCATTATATAGCTAGAATCAAGCTTGGAGACTCCAAAAGTGGAATAAGAGTTGAGTATTTAGCTAAAACCTAGAATCAGAAATCAAATTATCAAAGTTTTGGCCTAACTAAAGGATTTGTCAGAGAGAGATATTCCAAATCCACAGAAAACCTAAAAAAATCAGTATAAACAAGACCTAGATTGAGTTTGCAAAAGAAGATAACAAAAACCTGCTCAATATCCCTCGTCACTGGACCGGCTCTACTAGTAAGATCCGAGGACGCCATTCGTCCGTTCCTCGACATAAACAAAATTCCTCAGTGAGCCGAGAAGAAATCGACACTAGTCGTCAAGCTCAAATCAAAAGACCTCTTGCAATCACGAAATCCTCTCCACATCACTATGATCGTCGATCTATAATTCAATTCGAAGCTAGAGCAGCTTCTTCAGCTCCAGTTAGATTCAAATCGATCCCAACAATCAAACATATACGAATTCAAATGTGCGTCTTTGGATTGAACGCGAGAGGAATTTAGGGAATTGAGAATCTAGCTAGAGACATGTCATGATCTCTACTACTAGTACGCAGTTTGTTTAAAGCGAGAGAGAAGAAAGAGACCAAAAGGCAAATTCTGACTAGAGAAAGAAAACCTTTTTCTGCTTTTTTTGCTTCAAATGTTGAGTTTTAGATTATAGGACGACTATAACTCCGTCATTACTCTCCTTAATTACGGGATATACCACTCCATTTTCCACTTAAAAATATAAAATTGCGTATTTGTGTGAACAGCAATGTGGAAGGCTTTTGCGAATATCTGTTTTTTCGGCAAGCTTTTTCGAATATTACTTTCGTGTATACATTTCCTTTTTTTTTTTTGAGAGTTTAAATACCTACCAACTAATTATAGAAGAGTGAAGAAAAAAACCAATACATGATGTCATAGTTCAGTAGAAGATGTCAAGCAAATTAATACTAAAATGGCAGCCTCTTCCAACAAGGTTATTTCTAAATCCTCCAATGGACTTTCGGCCATTTCTTGGACTCCCTCTCATAGTTCAAGAAACGGACTTGATTTGGATGGAAATGAACTTGTGAATCTTTTCTCCTCCATCTATTGTGCACCAATGAACATATTGTTTTCTTTCCGGCACATGATCTTTACTCTTATTATTTTGTTGAATATTATTTTAGTTATATCTCTTAACTTTTGTATACATTAATTCTTTGTCTATTAAAGGTAAAGTTTTTTGAGGGTTTCATTTTCTTGTAATGGGACAGGATCAGGATGTATAACATTTTAAAAAATGTCTTTATGATCTGTAATATGTCTTATACTACGTCGTTTTGAGTTTTCTGATTTGTCGCAATACTATAGGACCACGTGTCAAAAACTTCTGGTGGAGAAAGAAGGTTTTCTTTTTTTTTTTTGTCTTTTTTTTTGTCTCGGTGGTTCGCTGTCTCAGCCACTCCCTCTCTAATCCGGGCGACGAATAGATTTTGTTGGAAGAACTTCTTCTTCTTTCTTCACTACCCAATCTTTCGTTTTTCAATTTAATTTCGCCGCCATGAGTTCCGTTACCGAGATCGTGTCTGAGCAGCAAGTGATCGACGGTATTCAGGATATGTCTCTTCAAAATCAGGTTTTTTGTTGCTCTAATTCAATTTACCTGCGCGTCTCTAGATCAAATTTTGATTCTTTTATATGTTTGCTTTGTGGGTCGGTCTTGTTTCGGAGTTGGAGCTTATTCCATCCGATGATACTTCTTCTGCTTCTCTGTCGAAATGTATCTAGAATATTAGGGTTTCGTAAATTTTTTATTTTGTGCGTTTAATTCCGGCTTGGACGATTAGGGCTCTTCAGGTTTACAATGTGAAGTGGCTGATGCTGAATCTGCTACAGTTATTTTCTTAACTTTCACAGAACTTAGGTTTCTTGTTCTTACATCTAAGCATAACTCTTTAAGATGATGTTGTGGGTTCTCTGCATATGAAGCTAATTCAAAGATTTGTCCAGGACAAAAAGAAGATCCAGGAAGAGATCCATGAGCCGAGTTTCGGGAATCATGGTGGCTGTTGTGCAATATGTTTGAGTGAAATTCCTCTTCAGGAAACTGCTATGGTGAAAGGCTGTGAACACACTTACTGGTAATACTGTTGGATCTTCTCTTTGTTAGATGATATACATCTGGTTTGGTTTCATCTATATTTTATTACTTACAAAATTTAGTCTCTTGTATGAACATATTGATTTCGTCAGATGAATTTTGTTTTCTTTCTCCTAACTTTTCAGTTTTGAAACTTGGTTTGAGGTTTAATCCTACTGTAAACTCTTGGTCACTTTTTTTTAATCTTGTGTTTGATTCTATGCCTACGTAGTAAACTGACTTTCTCCTTGGGTTTTTAAGAGGAGTAATTCATTTCTATCTATTCAGTGTCACATGCATACTTCGTTGGGCGAGTTGCAAAGAGAGTCCTACATGCCCGCAATGTAAACATCCATTTGATTTCCTCAGTGTCCACAGGGCACTCGATGGCAGGTGAGTTTCCTTCTTTATCTACATATTCCGTAGTGTTTTTTGTTAGTCCAATTACTTGATCAAACTCTTTTGCTCATTCTTGTTTGGTTATATGTAATCTGTCTACATGTTCTGACGCATTGGGAATTACCATAGAGTTTGAAAGTTCCTATGTCTTCTACTGAACTCTCTTTTGGATTTCTATGCAGCATTGAAGATTTTCTGTTTGAGGAGAGTGTGTGCCTTCTCCTGAGAGCCTCATGGTTTGTACCATTGGATGTGGTGGAACTGGCGTCATACAGCTATGGTTACCATGATGATTTTGACATCCCATGTGACTATGAGGATGAAGATGATGACCTTGACGAGTTTTATTTGCACGGGTCAAGTCTTCGCATAGGAAATCGGAGATGGGGTGGCAATGGTTTTGTCAGATCCGGGCGTCAAGAAGCCCGGCCAGTCCAGAGATACAGCGGTTCTGGTTCTAGTTCCAGTTCCAGTTCTGGGTCATCCTCAAGTGAGCCTAAGGATAAGCAGGTGAAGATGACAAACACAACAGGAAGGCGTGCAAAGAGGGCAATGAAGCGTGAAGCTGCGAACAAAGCAGCGGAAGTAACTGCAGCAGCAAAGCACGAGGCCCATTTGGTTAGGTTGGGGAGGAAGTGAGTGTGTATCTGTAAATAAATTGCACTCAAAAAGCTTCCACCTACTTCCATTACTTAGTATCATCTGTACAGCAAATAGTTTTTTAATGTTGTGGTAAATACCCGTCACACCACTGTATACAAGGTGTGTGGGTTTGGAATGGTAGAAACAAGAAGTTATGACCCTCTGGTCTCATACAATAATACTTGGACAACCATTGAATAACATATTACTCTGTTCATTAAATCTTGAAAAGTTTCTGATTATTGCTCAAATGAGATGGTAGTGTGGCTTTTGATTTTCTTGGTGTGTGAATATGTAAAACTTTGTCTTGATGAAGATGGAGAATGTGGCAATGTTATGGTTTCGTAGTCTGAGTTGGTCGGTGAGCTGGCTTTGGATATTCAGTTTGCTCAACTTCATGACACAACTAAGGCGTAGATACAATGCATCTTAGTTGCAAGGAACTTCTAACTCCAATAAAGGATTCCGTTTATAATATGAATATTTTTTAAGATAAAATTTAAGAAATAAAGTATTTTTATTTTAGTTAAAAACAACATGTATCAAATTGCCAAATAAAATATAGATTGACAGTTTTTTCGGGGTTTTTTCCAGTTTTTAAAATGAATGAGTTTGAAGTGAAATTGAAATTGATAACCCAACAACGTGTCACGTGTGTCTATTTTCCACCTAACCATTACTAACCACGCAAAAGGGAAAAAAAATATCAGCAGTCTTTAAAAACGGCAAAGAAATCACCCAAATATACGCATTGGCCATTTCGTCCCTCCACTTAGAGAGAAACAGACACACAAATCGAGAAAAATGGCAAACAGTGGTGAAGGTAAAGTAGTGTGTGTAACCGGAGCCTCTGGTTACATCGCCTCATGGCTCGTCAAGTTCCTCCTTAGCCGTGGCTACACCGTTAAGGCCTCCGTCCGTGACCCAAGTTCCGTACCCTCTCTTCTTTTCTCTCTCCACTTATTCACTCTAGGGTTTAGACACTATTTCATGGGTTTGAATCAAGTCTGTGTGACTGGAGTTTTGAGATTTGGTTTCTAGTAGTGAACTGTGTGAATTTTCTCTCTTTTTTTGGTGTTTGGGTCATCTTAAAAATTGATGCTTTGTATATTAAATTTCCCTTAAGATATAACCTAAAACACCAACAACGATCTGCTTGTAGAAATGAAATTAATACTTTGGTTTTTATAGTAATTTGTTGAATCTTTCATGATGATTCACCTTATATACACAGGTGATCCAAAAAAGACACAACATTTAGTTTCACTGGAAGGTGCAAAGGAGAGACTTCACTTGTTCAAAGCAGACCTTTTGGAACAAGGTTCTTTCGATTCTGCTATTGATGGCTGCCATGGAGTTTTCCACACTGCTTCCCCATTTTTTCATGATGTCAAAGACCCACAGGTTTTGTTTTTATTCCCTCAAAAACTTGCTTTTGTTTTGTGGATTGATTTGATCATAACTTCTTATCCCAATTTCAGGTTGAGCTTATTGATCCTGCGGTCAAGGGGACACTTAACGTTTTGAATTCTTGCACCAAAGCATCTTCGGTTAAAAGGGTTGTTGTTACCTCCTCCATGGCAGCCGTTGCTTACAATGGAAAACCACGCACACCTGATGTTACCGTCGATGAAACTTGGTTCTCTGATCCTGAGCTTTGCGAGACCTCCAAGGTTTGTTTTGAAACTTGAGCCATGATACATTTTTTATTATGATGAAACTTTGTTTTGTTGTCATCTACTCTCAACAAGTCGTGGCTTTATTGTGCTGTAATGTTGGCACTTCAAACTAATATGTTATGCTTTGTTACTGGACTTAGATGTGGTATGTTCTATCCAAGACTTTGGCGGAAGATACCGCTTGGAAACTTGCTAAAGAGAAAGGCTTAGACATTGTTACTATTAACCCGGCTATGGTGATCGGTCCTCTCCTACAGCCAACTCTGAACACGAGTGCTGCTGCTGTACTAAACTTAATAAATGGTAAAAAAAACTTTTACTTCTTTCATGATTACTAGGACCAGTTTTGTCAAATGCTAGCTAGAGAACCCTTTCAACTTATTTTCTTTTATTTATTTCCACTATGCAGGTGCAAAGACTTTCCCCAACTCGAGTTTCGGATGGGTTAATGTAAAAGACGTAGCCAATGCGCACATCCAAGCATTTGAGGTCCCTTCAGCTAATGGGCGTTATTGTTTGGTCGAGCGTGTCGTTCACCACTCCGAGATTGTTAACATTCTACGTGAGCTTTACCCAAATCTCCCACTCCCTGAAAGGTAAAACATCTCTAAATATATTCCGCTGGTTGTCTTGTTCGTGTCTGGTGTCAAAAACTTTTGCCTCGTATGCAGGTGTGTGGACGAGAATCCCTACGTGCCAACATATCAAGTGTCCAAGGAGAAAACGAGGAGCCTTGGCATAGACTACATACCTTTGAAGGTTAGCATCAAGGAGACCGTCGAGTCCTTGAAGGAGAGAGGTTTCATACACTTCTGAGAAAAATTTGAGCCAATGGATTCAATCCAGATTAGATAAAGTATTTGGAACACTATATCAAAAAACTATAATATTTGGAACATGTCAACGTTCCTTAAGGACAGATTAGTATGTTCTCGTACCTTGTTGGTTCCATTAAATAAGTTGTTGTCTTCTGACCATTAGTTTAGTTGGTGACAAGAGAGTTTATCCAATAGGTATCAATATTTTATTTCATCGTCGGGAAGAAGTAAACAAAACTAGGGATTTTTACACGTATTGTTTGCCAACAAATATTAAGGATCCAGACAACATGAAAAATAAAGAGTCAGAAAATTTTAGAACATCATCTTCATATCGTACATGGCTGGCTATTCAAGTAACTAAAACTTTTGGAAACCCTGATCTACAATTATTGAGGGAAAAAAAAACAGAGAACAATTTTCAAAGAATACTGTTTTTTCTTTTCTTTTTACTTCTTTAGGAGATACAGAAACAAGAACCTTTCTCAATTCTCGCCTTCTAATTGCAACGAACCTTCTCTCATTAACTTGAGGCTCAAACTGTTGAATCTTTCCCGGGAATACTGCCTCGACGCTTTCCTCCAGTCTGTTCCAGCTTTCATCATTGCCGCAAACTCTTCATAGCTTATTCGTCCATCCTAATCACCAAGATGCAAAAAGGATCAAGAGATGATTTGTAAGCCGCTAGCTATTTCCAAACCAATTTTGCCATCAAACTACCTGTTCAAGACTCGGGAACTAAAGATGCAAAATTCTGAGATATACTATTCTCAATCGAACACGTAATCTTATCTATTCTCAATGAACCAGGTTACACATAATCTCAATCACTCGTTAAAATGCTGATATGGCATGTGAACTTGGTGAACTCCTATCATATACCCACATATAGCCTTCCGAGGAGAAAGATTCAGACAAGCATACCCAAGTCTTATGCTACTAAACTGAATCATTTGTGTCCCCATATTATCGTCACATAACACTATTGTGTGAAGATGCATTGCAGTGACAAGTATCTATTTCTTAAAGTCTCAGATTTTGGGGTTACCTTGTCTGTGTCAACATCTTGCATGATAGCTGCAACAACTTCTTCACTGCTAGTATCTATCTCATCATTTAAAGCCTCACGCAGCTCCTCAATCTCTATGTAATTGCTCTGATTCTGGTCAAAAAAGCTAAAAGCCTTATGCAAGTGTTCGTCGTTCGCCATTTTCTTAAGATGCACGGAGACAGCCACAAACTCGCCATAATTTAAAGTTCCATCCCCATCTACATCAGCCTGCACACCAAAAAAAAGGCTTTCAAATATCTGTTGGAACACAAACTTCAAAGTTTTTGGAATTTTTTTCCTACAGCTTCCATCAGGATCTGTAGATCAGTATCAGGTATCTGCTGCTGTCCGAGTTTATGAAGTCCAAATTTAAGCTCCTCGAGGTTTATCTTTCCTGTCTTTTTACTGTCCATCATCTCAAATGCTTCCTTGATGCCAGCTACTTCCTCCACTGATAAGTGTTCGGCTATCACCTGAAAGGGAGTGAAAAAGAAGTTTCACATTATTTCTTCAAATCCAACAGAAATAAGGTCATGAAGCAGCTGCAGGAATCACTACCCGTAGCGCTCTTTTCTTGAGCTTGTTCATAACAGAAAACTGTTTGAGTCTTGCTTTCACCGTCTCGCCGAGTGAAACATTTGGAGCCTTCTTTGCATTTTGTATCCAAGAATGTTCTGCGGATACAAGTGTCACAGTATATGTGTTCCATAAGTAACAGATTATAGAAACACACTAGAAAACATACCGAGTACTTGTGCAGCAGAAAGCCGTTTTTTGGGGTCAGGTTCGAGCATCTTCCTCACAAGGTCTTTGGCAGTCTCAGAAACTCTCGGCCATGGATCCCTCTTAAAGTCGATAACTGACCTAATGATCGCCTGAGCCACCCCTTGCTCAGTCTCTTTACAAATATAAACAACATCAAAAAAAGAAACTCAAAAAGTGGAAGAAGATAAGCAAATAAAACTTTGAAAGATGTCACAAGTGAATCCATGAACATGTAATTTTATAACATCAGGATCCTAAATCATTCACAGAGGAAACTAGTGGTTCTGCAGTAAATCTTTCTAATCATCTATGGAAACTAAAATCCACAGCTGCATATCCGTATAAAACATCCACTGTTGAAGAACAAAAGATGGATTAAGAAAATAAGATAGATCATAACAAACCGGCCCAAAATGGTGGGACACCACAGAGCAGGATATAAAGGATAACTCCAGCACTCCAGATATCAACCTCAGGTCCATAATTTCGCCTAAGTACCTCTGGTGCCATGTAATAAGGACTTCCAACAATCTCGTTGAATCCCTCACCTGTTACAAATTCGAAAAACATCAAGTGGAGTAAACAGAACAAAATTATCTGTTGACCTGAGATATACAATGGACATTATAAAATCTATACCAGGCTTGAAGAAGACTGATAATCCAAAATCTATGGCTTTAAGGGCTGATGTCTCTTTTTTATTTGCAAAGAGAAAGTTCTCCGGCTTTAGATCCCGATGCATCACTCCATGCTTATGGCATATCTGCAATACCAAAAGGTGTTCAAATCATAAAAGTAGAAGTTAGGATAACAAGCCTAACTAGTATTACACTGAAAGCGCAAGCCACTGCATAAAGACAAACAAGGAACCTTGCAATAGAATTAGCGGGAAGACGGAACAGCTAGAAAGTTGACAAAACTAGAGTGCAAATGAAAAAATAAAAAAGTACAAACCTGAACAACTTCAAGAATAGTCTTCATTACTGCAGCAGCAGCTCGTTCAGTGTAATGACCTCTTGCAACAATCCGATCAAACAGCTCACCCCCTTCACACAACTCCATAACTATATGCACTGCATCATCGTCCTCAAAGGCATCCTTGAGCGACACGATATTCGGGTGCTTAGGCATATGCTTCATTATCTCAACTTCCCTCCTAACATCCTCTATATCCACAGCTGTTCTAAGCTTCTTCTTTGATATAGACTTGCACGCATACTTATCGCCCGTATTGATATCAGTGCACAAGTATGTAATACCAAACTCTCCGCGACCAACCTCACGCCCCAGATCATACATAAGCGATATGTCATGCCCTGTTGGATCTTTCAAAACAGAGAGCTTGAAGCCAGTTCCAGATCCATTGGTAGTGTATGCCTCGCTATAAAACGGGTTACTTTTGATCTTTGGTTTCCCATTCTTACTCCCAGTTTCAGAACCGGGGCTCGCACAACAATTTCCCATGTATATAATTCAAATCTGAGAAGTCCTGAGATTTCATCAAACAACTAAATCACTCACAACGCAAACATGTCATTTTCCAAATCAAGAAAGCTTAAAACTTTATCAATTAATCTCTAAAATTTTCCAAATTTAGGAATTAAAGACTCTCACTAATCCCAAAAACATATAGCAAGACAATCAGCAGATTTGATAAAAGGGGCAAACAGACAAAACAAACGATCGAGAACAAAAATGCAACGAAACTAAGAACCCTAAAAATTGAAGAGCAGAGAAGTAAACCCTAGCAAATGAAACCAGGTGAAGAACCAAAAAGGACGATGCTTTAATTAGAAAGGGGGAAACACAAACCTGAGACTTTAACCGGAGAAAGAGATGATCAAATTAGGATTGAATCGGCAGAAGCAAAAGTGACAGAGAGAAAGGAGAAGAAGGAGAAGAGTCAAAGTCTCCTTCTTTCTCGCTTCTTCTTTCTGAGTGTGGTGAGAGCAAAAGAGAGACTCTTTTTTTTTTTGGGTTCTCTATTGTGGAATTAGCAGATAACCCATTTTGCAAAAGACAGTCACACGGTCACAAGACTAACCACCACTCTCTCTCTCTCTCTTATTGTTTCTTCCTCTCAAAATAAACTTTTTTTTTTTGTTTCTTATTGAACAAGAACATGTGTCATGTTATGGCTTTTGTGTTTTGTCGCATCTCCACGGATTTTGATAAAACGATTAGTCTTTTCATAATCCACCACTCACACACATGTATAGGTTACGTTAACTAGATAGATTTATCTAGTACAAACCAATAAATAGTAAAAGCATTTGATCTCTATGGATTATCGATAAAAAAAAGATTACCCTTATGATTTACGATTCTCACACACAATATGGTTATGATATAGTATATCTCTAGTACAAACAAATAAATTGCAAACCTCTGATCTCTGAAAACCTCTTTTTAATATTCATATAGACAATTACATTTAGAAGTATTTGAAATCAATCATAGCAATTGTTTAGAACCTAATTTTAAGCTCGTTCCAAACTACATTTTATTTTTCGTAGCTTTGGTAGTGACAGTGAATCAATGATTATGTAATACTATTTGTTTTATATTGTTATCAATACTCAATAGAAAACAGTAACAATTAGAACCGGTCAACCATATGCAGTATAAAATAAAAGAAAAAAAAATCAATCAACCATATATGTTCCACATTTATCAATTTCTTAAATACAAATTATTAACTATAAATATTTTTGTTATAAACTTCCATATATCAAACAACACAAAATAATAGCAATAGCTATACTACTAATAAACTTTTTTTTTTAAGTTTTATCGCAATTGTTACCAATCAAACGACTCATTGATTTTGTATCTGATTATACCGAATAAGCTACCAAATACCATAATGTTCAATGTATATGTTTTCAAGGATTTGAGTTGAATTTCGAATAAAATCGAATGCAAAATATTCGTCTATAGCAATAGATCTGAGAAGAACAACAAAATCGTCGTCACTTCGCCTACTCCATTACTATATGCGCTTATGTCGAATAGACCGATTGAAAATGTGCTTTTTAATTATTCTTCTATGTTTTATTTTTTTATTTTTGTCATGGGACCATTTTTATAGGTTTTAAATCTTTCAATTCGATTGTAAATCTACATCGTTTTTATTTTATAATGAAATATTTATATTTTTAACCAAAAAAAAAAAAATCGAAAATATACAAATTTTTTAGATATTCGGATAATCCTATAACTGTGCGGATATTGGATAGTGCATGGATCTGAACCGATACCATGGGATAGATATGTACATGACTCAAAAAAATAGTTTGGTCTATCAATAAACAACAGAAACCTGTCGTTTAGATGGATTCAATTTTTGTCGGATTTTCAGATTTTGGGATTCAGTATTTTTGGCTAGGCCTAGTGAAGACCACATTAACTTTGGTCAAATAATCGAAACAAACTCCTCCTTACGACCAAAACCAGTGAACCTAGAAATCAAGCTTTTCAATTTCATGCATACTCGATTCCGACTTTGCTCATATCCGTATATAACTCTTGCATTCCAAACTCGATCTCCATCCAAAATGGCATCTTCTGGGTTTTGTTCACTGGTTCCAACTGTCACCTCCTTATTCTCGTCCCACGCGCTTGCACGGTGGCGTTCGAGTTCTATGTCTCCTCCTCCGCTGCGTATTTCCCGCGCTTTTTCAGCTGCAACCACTGTTCCAATAAGCTCCTCCTTCACTTGGGACGACGTAATCGAGACCGGTCGGGAGGAGTATACGCCTCACAACTCCTCCGATCTCACTGGATTTCTCGAGAAAGTCGATCGCTGCAATCGCGGATCCGTAAGTCCTACTGACTCGAATAGTTTTAGGGTTTTGGTTCCTAGCTAGGAGATTGAGAAAAGCTGAAATTCAATAAAAATGTTAACTTTTCGTCTTTTCTATTTATAAAGTTCAAAACTTTTTTGCTATACATTTTTCAGGAAAAGTTAGCTGAGTTCATTCCATTTGTTATAGAGGAACAAATCGTTGGTTATATTCATAAAGGGTAACTGTTCTTGCTCAACTTGTATAAAGCTTTTTTCTTTTGCTGCTTCTATGATTCTAAAATTTGATCTTGTACAAATTCACAAACTAGTTCTGGAATTTGGATGTTTGTTTGTCCACATTGAATAGATTTACGGAGTACTTGAGGGAGTTTCATGATATCTTTACATTTTCACAAAATGGTTCTTACCATGATCGCGTTGATGGCTTTGTAACGCTTAATCTGATGCTTGAAAAGCCTGAAGATAGAACCAGAGCAGTTGCAGATGTGATCAAAGTCTTGGGTGACAAAGGAATCATTCCAGGAATACGTAATGAGGTATGTGTTTGATGTTTGATTTGATCTCCTAACTATCCATTGACGCTTGATTTAAGGTTCTATGATTCTAGTTGTCTTCTTTTTGTTGATATTTTTTTTTTCTCTTTTTCACCAGCTTTATCCTGTGAAACCATCGTTTAATGCCCCGGTCATATTTTCTCTTGAGCGTGCTGCTGCTCCTTATTTCGGAATAAAGGTAAAGCCATACTCCACTGAATTGGTTCAGCTTGTAGCTATGAACACCAATTTATAAGCTTTGCCATCAATACATGTGTACTGTTTTCTTTTCCTGATTTTGCTTTGTGTTCCTTATGCGAGTGATGCTATGAACTCTGCTCTATGTGTTTTGATCGATATATTTAAATGGCTCTCTTGTTATCTGATCTAGGGTTACGGAGTTCACATGAATGGGTATGTAGAAAGAGATGCACAAAAATTTCTATGGATAGGTAAGAGAAGTCTCTCAAAATCCACTTATCCAGGAATGCTTGATCATCTGGTTGCTGGAGGATTGGTAAGATTTCTCTTAGTCTATACTTGGACATGGTTATCTGCTGATGATGAAAGTAATTCATCATGATGCAGTAAGTCTATACTAGTGATTATAATTCTCACTAGAGGAAATTGAAATGCACGTTTCCTTTCATCATTCGCTGGGAACCATAGCCTCACGGGATTAGCTGCGGTGAGAATCTTGTAAAGGAATGCGAAGAGGAAGCTGGGATTTCCAAAGCCATTGCTGATAGGTAAGACATTCTCTGCAGTCTTTAACAAAGCAGTATGTATAGCTCTCTTGATGTTTTCAACCTCTTGCATTTTATGTTTGATTTAAGGGCAATAGCTGTTGGTGCTGTTTCATACATGGATATCGATCAGTACTGTTTCAAACGTGATGTGCTTTTTTGTTATGATTTGGAACTCCCTCAAGATTTTGTTCCCAAAAATCAAGGTTAGGCAATCAGTAGTAAGGCATGAGTAATTCTGAATTTCTGCTCAGAGAGATATGCTCTTTCATAGCATTGGAGTCCAAATTACATTACAGATGGAGAAGTAGAGAGCTTCAAGTTGATTCCAGTAGCCCAAGTTGCTAATGTGATTCGGAAGAAGACTAGTTTTTTCAAGGCGAACTGTTCCCTTGTCATTATTGACTTCTTGTTTCGGCACGGGTACTTACCCCTATCTCCCACAATCTCTCTCGAAAGAATCAAGTTACTTACGATTATATATCCCGGATTTTAATGCTCTCACCCTGAAGAACTTACTTGTTTTGGATTTGGTAATGATGATTATTTGGGTCTGATCAATATAGGGGGATATGGATCAGGGGTTTGTGTAAGAATGTTAAATGAAAATGGGTGTACATGTTCCCAACTATGCAGAGTAAATTCACAGCTTATGAGCCAAAGACCACCACACATGTTAATGCCGAAATAACCGACCCACGAGCAAACATGCTTCGAGGTTTTCTGGAAACATTATTTTCCATTTTGTCTATTATGCAGGTTCATCAGACCAGAATCATCGGGTTACTTGCATCTATACGGACGCCTGAGGAATAAAGATTGCTCATAAGGATGCTACTATCTGATGGTTGTAAGTAAAAAGCTCACTTTATGGATTAATATTAGATACTTTGGCTATGTAATAGGTTCATCCGTGTATATAATATTCTGCACTTTATTTTAGAGTCTGCTGAGTCACTTCAGGTGCCTTCATGAGCATACACCAATCAAGCAAGTCCAAAGAATAAAATTTATTTATACTGAGAGCAAGACAAATTCACTAGAGTTTCCTGTTCTATGATAGACTATGAGATTCGAGGAAAATGCTTCTCTATTAGTTGTGACTTCTGGTTCCGGAAGCTAATGAGCTCACATGGAAATTGAAGGCTAGTTTAGGGAATCGGATGGTTTAGAAGTTAGAAGTTGTTAGTCGGTTTAAACTTTGTGACAACCCCTGTCAAAACAGAACTATAAAGCTCGAGTAATGAGCATCTTGTAACCGTGTGATTTCGATTCTGAGCTGAATTGTTGGGACTAAACCTAGACGAAATTAGGGGATTACAGACCGTAATTCCTTAACTAGTAAATTGCATTGTGTCATCATCATCTTCCTCGATTCTCATTTTTCTTTCTCGATCAATATACAAGTTTCTCGATTAGTGTTTGATACTTTGATTATGCAAATGTGGTTGATTCAAAGTAGCAACATTCTCTCTACGGATAATAAGCTGTCGTACATGGGCCTTTTTTGTCCTCCCAACTTTGATTACAGTGGACAGAATGAGACGACGAACTCCTCTCATTAGTGGAAGATTACAAGTGAAATCATGTTTAGGGTTATAAATGAAGACTTTGATCTCAGGTCTTTAAACGTCTGTTTTTAACACACTTAAACAGCAAGTAACAGTAATACTTTTTTGGCAATTTTTTCAAAGTTGGGTATTTGACTTGATAGATGAAAAAGCTTTATATAGGCTAATTTAAAAAGGTTAGGTATTTTTTTCCATTTCTATATACTGTATTACGTGAGGTTACTGTATTTTGAGTGTGACACAAGAGATAGGTTCAAAAAAACTTACTCGTCCCTTATCTAAAACGTCTTGCATCCCCAAGACAAGAACAGCTTTGTGTCTCCTCCGAACACATGGCATTTGGATTTTGCTTGATGACGTTCGAGTTCGAGGTCCCCTCCGCTGAGTACCAGTTTTTTTTATATCAGGAATCGGGACGATAATAAGGAAGTGACAGTGGGACAAAGAGAACAAAATCCAGATGCCATTTCTATGGAGGAGAAACAATGCTGTTCTAGCTTGGGATGCAAGGCGTTATAAATACTGGTGAGTAAGTTTTCGAAAAATATCTCATGTGTGGACCTCGAACTCACAATAACCTCACATGACGTTCGAGTTCGAGGTCCCCTCCGCTGAGTACCAGTTTTTTTTTATATCAGGAATCAATGAATCTATGAATCTAGACTAAGAACTTCAACAGATACAAGACATCAATTATAAGAATATACTATTTTGTCATTTTTTGAGGTTATTGTGAGTTCGAGGTCCACACATGAGTATTTTTCGAAAACTTAGTCATCAGTATTTATAAAGCCTTGCATCCCAAGCTAGAACAGCATTGTTTCTCCTCCATAGAAATGGCATCTGGATTTTGTTCTCTTTGTCCCACTGTCACTTCCTTATTCTCGTCCCAAGCGCTTATACCCACTCTACAGTGGCGTTCTAGTTCGAGTTCTAGGTCTCCTCCGGTACATATTACCCGCGTTTTATCAGTTGAAACTGTTCCCATAAGCCCCTCCTTCACCTGGAACGATGTTTTCGAGAATTGTCGAGCCGAGTATGTGCCTCAAAACTCGTCCGATCTCACCGGATTTCTTGAGAAAGTTGACCGCTGCAATCGTGGATTAGTAAGTTCACTTAATTGAATGATTGGTACTTGTAGTTTCTAGGAAAGTTTAAAAGAAAAAGAAAAAAATTCCTCTTTTCTTTTTATAGTTTTTATGAAGTTCAAAAACTTGTTTTGCCATACATTTTTCAGGAAAAGTTAGCTGAGTTCATTCCATTTGTTATAGAGGAACAAATCGTTGGTTATATTCACAAGGGGTAACTATTCTTGCTCAACTATAAAAGCTAGTTTTGGCAGAATCTTGAATTTTGAGTGCTCATAAATGGGTTGATCACAGATTTACAAAGTACTTGAGGGACTTTCATGATATCTTTACATTTTCACAATATGGTGGCCATGTAACACTTAACATGATGCTTAAAAAGCCTGAAGAAAGAACCAGAGCAGTTGCAAATGTGATCAAAATCTTGGGTAACAGAGGAATCATCCCTGGAATACGAAATGAGGTTTGGGTCTATGTTTTGGTTTGATCTCCTAATATCCAGTGATGCGCTTGTTTTTATAGGTTTTATGATTTTGGTTGTCTTTATTTTGTTGATCTTTTTCTTTTTCATTTTCACCAGCTGTATCCTGTGAAGCCATCGTTTAATGCTTCGGCCTTTTTTTCTCTAGAGCGTGCTGCTGCTCCTTATTTCGGATTGAAGGTAAAACCAATTTAGATTCTTTGCAAAGCAAAACATGTGTACCATGTTCTTTTGCTATGAACTCTGCTCTCTTTTGATCCAAGTATTCACTTGGATGGCTCTCTTGTTACATATGATCTAGGGTTACGCAATTCATGTGAATGGGTATGTAGAAAGAGATGGACAAAAATTTCTATGGATAGGTAAGAGAAGTCTAGCGAAATCCACTTATCCTGGATTGCTTGATCATCTGGTTGCTGGAGGATTGGTAAGATTTCTCTTGTAACAATGAAAGTAATTCATCATGATATATATAGAAAGTCTATACTAGTGATAATATATTTCTCATTTGAGGCTTCTTTTTTTTTGTTCCATCATCCGGTGGGAAACAAAGCCTCATGGGATTAGTGTTTGTGAGAATCTGGTAAAGGAATGCAAAGAGGAAGCTGGGATTTCCAAAGTCTTGGCTGATAGGTAAGACACTGATGAGCCATATGCTTTATGTGGTGTGGGGAAGTCATTTGCCCAAGGCCTCAAAGAAAATTGTAAAATAAAAGGCTTCCTTTTCTCTTTTTACTAATTTTTACTAATACTTTTATTTTTAATGGGAATTTCTGCAAATAACTTAACAGTTTCATTACAATATAAAACAACAAGAGATAATTATTAATGAAGGTGATAGTTTAAAAAAAAAAAAAAAAAAAAGAAGAGGACAGCTAGCTATGTAGTTAAATGGAATGGACAAAATAAAGAAGGCATAAATGGAGGAAAAAAAAAAAAAAGAATCGAAAAAGTTATTCAAAAAAAAGATTAGATTCATCGCAAATTCCTTTTGTATTTATATATATTTTAGACTTTAGTAACAAATGCCACATTATTTGAAGGAATCACCCAAAGTCTATGTGAGCATTCTCCTCAGTCTTTAACAAAGTAGTACCTATTAGGCTCTCTTAATTGATGTTTTCCAACCTCTTGCATTTTAATGTTTTATTGAAGGGCGATAGCGGTTGGTGCTGTTTCATACATGGATATCGATCGGTACTGTTTCACACGTGATGTGCTGTTTTGTTATGATTTGGAGCTCCCTCAAGATTTTGTTCCCAAAAATCAAGGTTTAGGCCATCACTAGTAATCTTGCTCAGCGAAATATGCTTTTTTCATAGCATTGTAGTTCAAATGACCAAATTACATTGCAGATGGAGAAGTTGACAGCTTCAAGTTGATTCCAGTAGCCCAAGTTGCTAATGTGGTTCGGAAGACTAGTTTTTTCAAGGATAGTTGTTCCCTTGTCATTATTGACTTCTTGTTTCGGCACGGGTACTAACTCTTTTCTCCCACAATTTCTACATCAAAAGAAACAAGTTACTTACCATTATATTCCGGGATTTTAATGCTCTTGCCCCGGATAGTAACATCCTTCTGAGCAATCTTCATGCCCCTTGACAAAACATTCTGTTCCATTTTGTCTATGCAGGTTCATCCGACCAGAGTCACCGGGTTACTTGGATCTATACCGTCGCCTGAGGAATGGAGATTGCTCTTAAGGATGTTACTATCTGATGTTTCAAAGTAAAAGCTCACTCTATATATAGACTAATATGAGATACTCTGACTATGTAATAATTAAGACTCATGCATGTATATAATATTCAGTCTGTTGAGTCACTTCATGTGCCTTCATGAACATATACCAATCAAGGAAGTCCATAAATAAACTTCATATATACAAATTAACTTAGCAAACCAAGTTCACATTTTAATTGTTTTGTTCAAGTAGAATTTTAGATTTTAGCATCAGAAAGCTAATCCAATTGTGTAAAGCAAATATACATCAGACCAATTTCATCGTTATCGATTAGAATTCTTGTAACAGTATGATGGAAATACAATAAGATTGACATTTAAACCTCAACAACTTTCTACTCTCCTAGACGTCTTCATGACCTAACAGCCTTTTCCAGAAGGATGCCAAAAGTTAGTATTAAATAAATCCCCCGGACATGAAGGAACACCATTGCTTGAGATCCCCCAAGTTTAGAAACCTCCTAAATCTGCTCCTATGAAATCGTGAAACCAAACCATTTTTACTATAAAGGAAAAAGTGGAATTTTACAAGAGAGATCGTCCTCCTCCTAGTCATGAACACCTTCTTCAATGTTTAAGAACCTCTTTCTTCTAAACCAAGCAAGATCTATTTATGGATAAGAGAAGGGAGGCATGCTCTCTAATTTTTTTCTTTTTCTTTTCTTTTATCCAACTATTGTGAAATCATTGATCTTTACGATGTCTTAAGATGTCATCGAGACATGTTGAGCTTTCATCGGTTAATGCGCGTTTTATAAAATGGGGAAAATTAACCGATGCAATCTCAACATCGATCTCATTTTATTGTTTTTTTTTTTTTGAAATGTTTGGTTCCCTAAGCAAATTATATGTTTATCTAACGAGTATTGTTCTTGAGTACAGAATGCTGGATGGACTCCAGTTCCACAGTTCGGAGGGTGGGACCAAAAAGGACCAAATGATGCTACAAACTACTCGGTTGTCTTCTCCCAAGCTCGCGCTAACAGGAAGCAGAACAAAGCTGTTGTGAGACATTCTAGTTTGGGAAGCGAACAAGAACTCATGGCAAGTGTTCGTCGGAACCACCAGCAACTTCACCATCGCCATGAAACCCAAGATGATGACCCTGTCATGGTAATTAACATCTACCTCTCTCTCTCTCTCTCTTTACTTACTCTTCCATGGATTCCTTGGTTCATATGCACCTTGTGATGATCCTTTTCCCCTTAGTCAACGCGCATGGATCATCACAAGGTGGTATAGCAATTTCCGAAATGATTTCTCTTTGTGTCATTGCTTTGTTTTGTGTTCTTGCATTTGTCCGTACAAGAGACATAACTGAACCATGATTGTTGTTCAACTTAATTATGAGTTGAATTGCATCTCCTTGGGAGGGCTTTTTCATAATATTTTCTCTTTATGTACTTAAGGAAAGAGCACATCTATAGCCCAAATAGATTGAAAATTTGTATTTGGAGCCATGACCGGCACTTTCCTAAAGTACATGAAGCATCATAGTAACATAGTATCAGGTCTCATTTATCAATCTAAATAATTAGGTCCACATTCTTGAAATTTAATGTTAGTGTAGTGGGTTGCAGAATCTTTCCATGGTTTTGAAGGATGTCTTTTGATTTTTTTGCATCTTTTTTCCATAACGTTTCAATTAGCAACCAAAATTTAACATTATATCTCCACCTAAAGAATTTAGTTACTTTTATAGTTAGATAAAAAAAATTATTAAGCCAACTAATTAAAAGTCTAAACCATAGTAAATTTATATCTGCTAGTTACACTTTTCTTTTTTCTTTTTGTAGCTTTAGGATCCTATTAATTTAAATTTATTATGGTTTACACTTTTTTGTAGGATCGTATTTTTTTTTTTTAATTTCTTTTGCTGTTATACAATTCTAAATTTATATCTGCTAGTTACACTTTTCTTATAGTTAAGTAAACATATAGGAAATAATAAAAACTCAAAAGAGCGAAAGCCACATTTTCACTATTTTGGTCGAGAAATTTAATATATTCGGCCTTCACTTGGTTGGAGCCAAAAAAAAATTATTTAAATTTTAGGAACATATTTTTCTAGAATTCCATTCTCATAGTAAATATATCAACCTCTTCTCCACTGGTATTGCGGATTCAAGTCACTAGATCTTCATGTTTTATTCATCTTTTCATTCGTATTTTTGCATTTTGTTTTAACTATATATATATATATCGGAGTTCCATAAATTTGTTTTGCTTGGATGTCTCCAACTTTAAAGAGGCAATCATGAACGAAGTGTATAGTACTCTTTTCTAGCGAATCTATCTCTAGCCGAAATCACCTTGCTAAATGAAGCATTATGCTATATGTGAAATATTGTATTATGTTATAAGATTATACAACTTGTATAGAGTATTCGTCTCTCTTACAATACTAATTTAAATTACCATGCAGAAGAAGAAGAGGATCTTGACCTACATAAATTGTTGTATCAGGCCAAACTAGGGCCTTGTTCTTCTACAAAGTCGGAATCTTTCTCTCTTCAGCGATATAGCAAATATTTGTCTCAGTGTGTAAAGATCGAGATTAGTGTAACGTTTCTGTAATCTTCTTTATCACAAAAAAAAAAAAAAAAACGTTTTCTGTAATCTATGTGCATCATCTGTTAAAATATTCCTGGTTGTGGATACATTTTTACTTGTGCCTACATGATATGAGAGCAAGATAATACATGACTTAATCACATTTCTGGCAAATTATATATAGTGAAACTTGTAAGCCATGTTAATTTATATGTCAAGTTTGCAAGTATGTATATATATCATTCACAATTCTTCCGTCTTGATTATTGTGGAATGCATCCTAAATCTAAATATGTGGACAAGTTAACTCTTTTAGAATAAAATGAACTAATTAAGAACCTGCATTAAGAAAATTTATGAGCATTTTTTAATCATAAGCATTTTTAATAAATAAAATGTGATAAAAAATTATCAGAAAAGTGAAAATTTCTTAAAATTAAATACAAATACAAATACAAATACAAAGACAAATGTACGGCCACATATTCATCGATGTTTGCTTTACAAAGCTGTAAAAGTTGATCAGACGCACCGAGAGGAGCGTGAATCCCACGCGGGAACCCTTTAAATAACAATTTTTCGGAAGCATCACGGGAAAAAAAACACAGAAGAGGAAGAAATCGCGATTTTATAACGCCATTGTTTGAGGAATCACCTATCCTTTCTCAAACCCTAATTATTTCCTTGTCGCTTTCTCTCTCGAACGTTCCTCGATATTCCCGCGACGACCCAAGAGGCAAGAGCAATCCGTTTTCCTGATTAGGCGCTAGCTAGAGGTGGGGTTGCGATGAGATCTGCCTTGTGATTGATCTTTTTGCTTCGGCTTTGTTTTCGCTCTTGAGCTTATTGATCTCATTGGCTTTCAAATTCCAACGGGTTCTTGAAATTTGCTTTTCCTTGATCGAAAATAAAGATATGGAATCAGAGAGCGTTAAGTTTGGAGGTAAATTTGGTTTCAAGCTTTGTTTTTTTTTTTTTGATTTTGGGATTTGAGAGTCAATGAGCTTCTGGATTTTTTTTAAGTGCAGGTCCAAGAGAATTAGGTGGTGCACTAGATCTTGTAACCCAATACAAGTTGTTGCCACACCATGAATTCTTCTGCAAGAGATCACTTCCAGAGTCACTTTCAGATGCTCATTATCTTCATAATTTGGTTGGAGACACCGAGATTAGAAAAGGAGATGGAATGCAATTGGATCAGCTTATTCCCAATGCATCACTTAGTAGCCGAGATTCCAATGCTCGTATTCAACCTTTTGTTTTAGATGAACTTAAGGAGGCTTTTGAGCTTAATGATACAGCTCCTGTTGAATTGCCTCCAGTAAGAATCGTGCTCTCTCTCTGTGTGATTTTTACTTTCTGTGATGCTAGTCTCCTGTAACATCTAGATCTTTTACTAACCATGATAAGTTGAATTACCTCCAAGCCGTATCTTGTTTGATGATAGTTGAGCTAGGTTTGAGAATTTGAGATCTTCTGTTTTTCTTCCAGGCAGAGAAGGGAGCTCCTACCACGGCCTCAAAATCAAAAAGTGAGTCGAAAGATAAGGACAGGAAGCATAGAAAACACAAAGAAAAGAATAAGGAGAAAGATAGGGAACATAAGAAGCACAAGCACAAGCATAAAGATAGGAGCAAAGATAAGGATAAAGACAAGGATCGAGACAGAAAGAAGGACAAAAGTGGGCACCATGATAAGGTATTAGAACTGTCTGCTCTTGTTGCTATCTTTCTTTCGTAAGAATAGCTTAATGGTAAAGTGTTTCCCATTTCTTTGAGTCTGGGATACATTTTTGGCAATTGAATGTGTCCGTTGTTGGTTTCAGACTTTCAGTTCATAAAATTTGGCAGATCTAGGCTGTATATTTTTATATATTGGATTCTTCAATTCTATACAATTTACATGGTACACTACCACTACCACTTTACTTTCAGAAAAGGAAGTACAATGGGACTGAAGATCTTGATGACGTTCAGAGGCACAAAAAGAGTAAGGTAATATACTAATGGCAATGCAGGCATCTCCTTTTGAAGCTGAATTTAGACATTTCTATTTGCTCGCACAGTGGTGCTGGAGTAGTAGATACCGCGGCAAATTTAATATTTGTCGTCCCTAAATTAACTTTTTGCAGCATAAGAGCTCAAGGCTTGATGAGATGGGAGCGATGTAGGTTGGAGGCTGAAGCCGGGGACACTCTCATTTTTGTATTGCACACCAAAGGTGTCATGGAGAGGTTTAGAAGCAGCTAACTTTGTTAGGTAAGAGTCGTTGTGTTATCCCTCTGTTACTAGACTCATCTTTAGATAAGGCATGTTTCTCATATGGATCTGTGTCTGTCATCTGAGGAAATAATCATTGTCTTAAGGCTTATAAGTAGATAACCTGGAAATCTCTAGCTACCGGGAATGCAAAATCTTTATTTTACAGTCTCAAATGATTGGCAATGTTTCTATGTGATGTATAGATTGTCGCATCTTAACATAGAATGATTTGGTTTTGGTTTTGCAGGTTTAATCTCTAAATAAAAATTTCACTGTGGGGGAAGTTAGGAAGGGTGAAGCAACGAAAGTTCGCCAAGAAGGCAAGAAGAATCACACAACTTGTACATTTTGTTACTTCAAAACAAGCTATGAAGTTTATCCATTCTCGTGACTATTTATACAGAAACGTTTCATACATTCGAAGTCATTTATTCTGAATGTTATCAGATCTGAAGGCATATGATTCGAGGCAGAACGCAAGTGTAGTTTTTATTCATGTATTTCTTCTGTCTGTAATCATCTCTATGGAAAAGTACCAAAAACAAAAAATATATCTTACAGGAAAATGTTTAATCTCGAACAAAAGAGTAACAATGAGGAGAACAAAAAAAGACAGGAAAACCAACGGAGAGAGGAAGGGCCAGTGGCTGACAAAGAGTTTCAAAACGTCATTGAGTTTATGTAAGCGCATATATGTAATGAATAGCAAAAGATTAAACTCTATCAGCAAAACATACTAACGGAAAATCTCAAACTTTTAATCAACTAAAGTACAAAACCCTTAGGGTGGGGAACTTTCCAATCCTTCACACTCTTCTCACATACCAAACGAACGACTAAGAAATGCTGCTTTTCATTGAAAAAATTCCAAGATGTGACCTCCTCATTCATATGCTTAACCTTCCTTTTCATTTTCTAGCAAAGGTCTCTCCCTTCTGCTCACTCCCGGCACAAACTACATACCCTGCTTCCACCTATAAAACAAATTGATGTTTTGATTATGGAATCCATAAAACCATCTGATATGTATACGACACTGGGTACTATGAACACAGAAGGGAGCGACGTACTTGGCAGTCTCTCAGAGTAACACGCTCTTGAAGTTGTGCGTTGCTGCAAATGACTGAGCCCTGTATTGAACATCCGTCTCCAATTGTGGCATGGTCCATCACAACTGAATTAACAATCTGCACCCACATATAAGCAGTTGAGCGTATTTTCGAGATGTACACCACCTTTCTTTGGCTGGCGTGAGTAAAAAGCTAATTTTGTTACCTTCACATTGGAGCCTATCCGGCAATGTCTCCCAATTACAGATCTTTTGACACTGCATTTATCACCGACTTGAGAGCCTTCTCCAAGCATACAATGAGGTCCAACCTGCAACCCATAATTGTTATTGACGATCACGACTCACAGAACAAGTGCTCAATATCTAGACAAGTAGAGGACGTACTGTGGTTTTCGATCCAAGCTCAGCTGATGGGTGGACAATGTTGTGATGAGCAGAAAAGGAGTATCCAGATAGGTGGTTTGCATCACCAATAACCTGCACAAGTTTGAACAATTACAGAGCTCGATATGTCAACTGAGAAAGAAAATACTAGAGAATGAATCTATGTGTGGAACAACTTACATCTCTGTTTACGTCCATAAAGGCTTGAATGCTATTCAAGCGGACGAAAAATTTACTTTCATCCGCTATATAAACACAGCATTTATTGGTTTTTCGGCTATCAAGACCTGATTCATAGACTTGATGAAAGCTTGGCAAAGATGCGTTGGAGAGAATTTGAGACAAGACCACCTCGTTGTTCTGCATATTATTCTTTCCATTTCCATTTCCGTTTTCTTCTACATTATTTTGGTCAGAGAAGATCTCTGATCTCTGATGCTCAAGGGGGAAAAGCACAGAAAAAGGATCAAAATGGCAATAAAACAAATGGTATAATTTTCATTAGTCTCATTTGCAAGGAACATATCCAACTAACCAGCTGTGTACGAACAAGATATGGTAGTACATCCTCTTTTAGGCTCCGAAAAGCAGGTTTTTGATCCAAAACTTCCTGCAGAACTGATCTGTAAGACACAAGACAAAAGAACATATTGAGTTTCGACAAATTAAACTAATTTGTTAGCAGGAAAGTAGATCTGACCAACCTCTTGAAGGCATATATATGAGAATCCATCAGATCTGATCGAATTTCAATCTATATCAAAAATGACAAGACAATAAGAAACTGTACGAAGATATTAATACATGCATCATCTACAGTCAGATGAGACAATGCATTGTAGGTCAATTCAAAAACTTACAATCAGAAAACATTACCTTGCCAGCCGCACAGAGAATGCTCTTTTTTACTCGCGTATCTTTCTTAATCTCAGCCCCTAACAAAATTTCAGGAGGTAAACCAACAACAAGTTCAAGCATTTTGGTACCTCTAAGAAACAAAAAGGAGAATTAAAAGTAGGACCTTTGGCTATGTATAACAAGAATTGTTTCAAGGAATCAAGCCCTATGATATCATCGCAAGCAGGCTTTTTGGTTTTATCTTTCCCACCAGAACCCCCGGATTCTGATGGCCCACTGACAGGTTGAGCACAAAGCATTACAGTGACTGCTGCATCATGCCTTCTATGAGTGGCGGCAACAGCACCAGGAGGAATATCAGAAACAATGTCTCCACTTACAATCTATGTCAAAGCAAATTACCAGTTAGCTAGAAGCTCAAAATTTGCGCAAAGCAAAAGCTACGAGAAGGCTTTATTGTAGCTAACCAAAATGTCTTTGGCAGTTAAGTGGTGTGCAATTGCCCTGAGTGCCCCAGCAGTTCCAACATTCTCAGCAACAGCAGCAACCTATAAAGTAAGATATCCAGCAGAACATTGAATAACTTCTCAGTTGGTTAAAAGATCCATAACTTGAGGACAAGCATATTCAAATGATTCCTACTGTACTTAATAATTCTAGGACCAACAACACCTATAACGAATATTACACTAGATTCTTTCAATCATGCATAGAGTTTTCACTGGAACTCTACATGACTAAATTGAGATGCCATAGATAGAGTAATACCTCAACATGTAAACGATCAACACAAGCAGAAGATATCCATCCACCAACTTTCAATGCGGCATCTTCTCCTTCAACAACCTGTGAAACAAAAGCGAACGCAAACTCTGAGCTCCATTGAAAACATTCAACCTAAAAACTCTCGCATCAGAAAAGATATAAGGCGTACGACGATCAGATCCTTGAGATTATTGCTCTCGAGCAGATCCAAAACGTAAGATAACACCGGACGATTCGCTACCGGAAGCAACGCCTTAGGAACTTCCTGAACAACACAAAAACGAAATTAGCTATTCGCCTAAACTCACTGCGAAAAACTGTTTTGCTGATGAGAGAAAGAGCGACGGACCTTGGAGACTAAGGGAACAAGATTACTGGAGAATCCACCGGCGAGAATCACGACCTGAAAATCCATTATCGCAACTGAATTGATGAGGAGACGAAGAAGAGAGGTTTCTGGGGTTTTGATTTTAGACGAAGACGGTATCAATTAAACCCGCTTCTCTCTTACTTTTGGATCCGACGGGTCGTTTCTTTAATCTTGTGTTACTATTTCACTTAGAAATATTTTAATTAAAATTAAACATTATGTATGTGATTTTATGGTTTGTAATAAAGCTTCCTATCAAATTGGAAGAGATGAATGAAAAATACGAAATTACATTAAAGAGAATGTGAGCAATCTCTTACATACACACTGCTTCTATAATAATATATAAGTGTGTCAGTAGTTCCTAAGTTGTTGTTCTCCTATCTTAGCCTTTAAGTCATTTCACCTAACCAGAAACACTTCACTCTTGGTCTATGCTTTCTTCATCATAATCTTCCTCATCATTAGCACTACTAGCCTGTTGTTGATCAGGATCTATTTTCATTTCGTTAATCTCCAACAACGGCCAATCTGGACTTCCCTCTAGCGCTCTGTCCAGCCAAGCAGCTGAGTCTCCATTCTCATCTAATTCAACATTAAGATCAAAGTTCCTTACTTTTACCACTGAGTTACTATGATTGTTGAGTGATGCGACTTTCTTCCAAGATTTATCGTCATGAGAAAGGCTCCCGATTTCGGGAGACGGGGTCCTGCTGCTTTCGGGAGAACCATCTTCTTCAAATTTTAGAGACAGCCCACTTCCTGTTCTTCCACCACCTCGTCCGCAGCCTCTACCTCGCCTTCCTCTGCCACCGCTAGTATGTTTGACCTCATGCTGTAACAAGGCGAAAAAAGGGCTTACAAAAATAAGCATTAAGTGAAATACAAAATGGTCATCAGCAAAATAAGTCTGGCTAGTTACCATTTGAGTGGTCTTCGTCATATCTTCATCGTTGCAACTTCTTTCATCAACTACTTTCCTGAAAAGTCGGACAAACAAGTTGTTAGACACGAAACCAATACCAAAGTTTTTGAAAGGAGAATGACCTTGGGCCTAACCTTCTTTTGGTAGCTGATTGGTCTTCAGTATCTGAACCACCCAAATCAGGAACTTTACCAACAGTCTCTCTTAGAAAATCAAAGATATTAAAGGTGTGCACACACTGCTTCCTGGAAAAAGAATAAAAAAAAGTATTGAACAAGCAAGAAAACAATTGGTTTACTATATATATAAAGCAAAATCCAAAGTTGGGGTTCACACTTACAAATGAAAGGAGTTGACAGTTTTTGCTCCTCGGCTAAGAGTTACATCATACGTGTGATTACACAAGTCTTGTAAAAATAGCTCCAAAGCTTTAGCTGAAAAGTTAAATTCAAAACCAGAACAGATCAACTACATGTGGTGACACAAGCTAATATATGAACAACGTTTAGAGTAAGAAAATAAAAAAAAATCATCACTTACAAACAAGAAGAGGGACCGCCATTGCTATTTTGCCAACTTCCTCATCAGTTTGCATAATCTTCTTAATCCTTGTCTGAAACACAAAATTCGAACATATCATCACGAGGACATCTCACCCTCTACAGAAATTACAAAAACACACTCCTTAAATTAAATATAAGAAACTTCATCTATAGAAGTCTCATCTTCAGTCCTAAACAAGATATCTCTGCAGTTTCTTTATATCTAGCCCTGAACAAAATAGCCCTCCAAGTCCAAGACACATTCACATACTGTAGATAAATTTAAAAAACTAATGAAGACAAGGACCATGGAACCCTGAAGAAGAAAACCTGTAATCATAGCAGAAGTGAACCTAACTACTCTCACAACTCACAAAACAGAGTTCATGGTTATCTCCATAGGAAAAAGAAACAAACAAAACTATAAATCAGTGAAAAGTAATTGTTTCATACCGCTGGAAAACGTGTCTGGAGCTTCTTCTTCATGCTTTTGTTGTACAGAAGAAAAAGCAGCTTCCAAAGTCAAAGGGAAGAAGATAAACCCTAATTTTGAATTTTGTGTTGCTTGCTTCCGTTCTCTCTGGAATAAATATAACAAAG